GGGAACTTCTGTCCAATGAGTGAGCTGTGATGAGGGCAACCAAGACCCAAATAATTTTGATTTGAATTGCCCAGGGTAGATCCTCTGGTCTATGAGTGGGGGGCTGGGTGAAGGAAGGGAGCTCTTATTGTCTTGACTACCCTTGTCAGGAATGTAGCTTTAGGATCTTAAAGCTCAGTTTGGGGTAAAAAGTTCTGGCAGCCTAGCCTTCCTGGCAGAATACTACATCCCTTGACTGGGGACTGAGGGCATTGACAACATTGCCACACTCGCCTAGAGTAGAGCTTCCAAAATGCTGAGCTAGAGGAGGGCAGGGAAGGAGTAGGTCATGGACTTTACTGTCTCAGACTCTTACAGTAGATTCTCTTGAATAGATTTAGTAGATTACCAAGACTTAGTAGATTCTCTTGAATAGATCTTTATTTTCTGTATGCTCTTAGGGAATTTTCTAGAGACTTTAAATGGCAGTTTTACTTGTTTGTTTGTTTTGCAGTAGTGGGGACTGAGCTCAGAATTTTGTGCATAGTAGGTAAGTCCTCCACCGCTAAGCTCCATTTCCTAGCCTTTTTTAAAAATTTTACTTTGATACAGGGTCTCGCTAAATTGCCCAGGCTGGCCTCCAATTTGTGATCCTCCTTCCTCAGCCTCCCAAATAGCTGGGATTTCAGCATGAGCCCTTGTTCTCAGCCTAATTGTTTTTTTTTTTTCTATTTTCACTAGTTATGGTTGTTTTGTTGGGAAGTAAGTACATGGAGCTTCCTATGCTACCATTCTAGAAGTGGAAGTTTCTGGAAATCTAATTTTGTTGGTAAGGAAACAGAGGCTCAGAGAGATGGCACCACTTATCCAAGTCACACAAGTATGTTTGTGGTATAGACAGGACTAGACACCAGGGGCACAGAGTCCTGGTCTTGGCTGCCCTCTTTATTTTAATATTGTTGCAAACATACCCCTCAAATTATGAAAATCTATCCTGCCTTTCTCACTTGATGTTTTTACACAAAGAATGTGCATGTGTTACTGGGGACTGAACCCAGGACCTTATTTCTCCCTCAGCTACATCCTCCAATCTTTTTTTTTTTTGGTTTTTCTCTGGTACCGGGAACCGAACTCATGACCTTGCGCTTGCCAGGCAGGCGCTTTGCCGCTGAGCTAAATCCCCAGCCCCCGTCCTCCAATCTTTATTTCTGCTTTTTATTTTGAGGCAGGGTCTTGCTAAGTCACTAAGTTGTCCAGGCCAGGCTCAAGCTTGAGATCCTTCTGCCTCAGCCTTTCAAAGTACTGGGATTACATATATGTGGCACTGTGCCCAGCTTATACTATTTTTGAGTTGATAAAATTATAGATATTGGTAATAGATTAGTGATTTCCAGTAGGTTTTTTTATTTCTATTGTTTAAGATATGTATGAGGAAAGTTAGAGGGGGCTGTGGAAGGGAACATGAGGACTCCTTATGGTGGTAGAAATGTTTTCTATCTTGACTGTAATAATGCCAACATCCTAGTTGTGATGCTGTGCTGTGGTTTTTAAAGATGTTATCATTGGGAGAAGTTAGAGTACACAGTATTTCTCTGTGTTTTCTTACAAGTGCGTGTGGTTCTCCAATTACTTAAAAATAAAACTTAAAGTAAGAAGCAACCTGAACAGTCTACTTCCTCTTAAAAATAATTTAGAATCAGAACCTATTATACAGTACACAGGCTTGACTGCATAAGCTTATGTCACGTCCCCCTCAGTTTTTTCAATGGCGCTAGCTTCTGATTACCAACCTGAGCCTTTCCTTTGAAATGAAATTCCCTAGCAAGACTGGCAAAGTTGTATATTTTAGAGGAAAGAACCTGACAAGCAACGAGCTGAATATTTATGCCCCTTCCAAGCTCATACGTTAAAATCATAATCCTCAAGATGATAGAATTATGAGGTTGGGCAACTGGGATGTGATAAGGTAAAGAATGCAGAACCCTCATTAATAGGATTAATGCCCTTGCAAGAGAGATCCAGCGAGATCCCTTGTCCCATCTGCCATGTGAGGTAACAGTAAGATGACCCTCTACAAGGAAGGAGACCCTCACCAGAGACTGAATCCGTGCCTTGATTTTGTACTTCCTAGCCTCCAGAACCAGAAGAAGTAAATTTCTGTTGTTTATAAGCTATGCGTCTATAGTACAATATTTTATTATAGCAGCTCAAATTAAGACATGAGATCAAAAGACCAGGGTTCTATTCCTAACTCTCATTCATTAGAACTTGACCCTTTTGAATCTTAAAAATTTCCTCAGTTGCGAGTTAAGCATAATAGCAGCACTGTCCAACCTGGCAGAATTGCTTTGGGGGGTCAAATGAGATAATGGATGCAAGGACATAAGAGTGCTTTGTAAACTGTAAAGCTTGATGCTGTGATCTTTTTTTTTTGTGCAACAAACATTTTGCCAGTGTATGGAGGCATTTAGTAAAGGTTATTTGCTGAATAAATAATGAATGAGTGATTAATCATTAAGCAAGTCAATCAAACAAAGGTATAATTTTCTCCCAAACATTTAAAACAAGGTAGCTGCATAGCACATCCAAGCAATCAAGAAAAAACAACATATCTGAGGTAAAGAGCTAAGATAAATTAATGTCTGTATAAAAAGATTAAATAGGCGCTCATGTTGGAGGGATGAGCAACAGTGGATGGGAAACTCATCAGAAAAGTAGAAAAATATTAAGACTGGGTGATCCAAGAGCCATAGAATTGAAACTGTAATAAGACAGAATAAAAGTGACAAACCAAAATACTTGGAGAGACATTTTGTTCTCATATGGAGAATATGGAAACTGATCAACTTGCAGTTACAGTATGATCTAATTTTAATTTGTATTAGTTACTATGGTAAACACACTTGAGGGACGAGGTAAAGCTCACGGCTTAGCAATGAAATTTTCTCTTCCTCCCAAAAGAGAGTAAAAGAAAAGATAGAACATATTCAATGCTAAGGTTTCTGTTTCAATTTAAATTCACACAGAGAATAATTACATAGCCCTAGGAGAATGCTAGGCTACTCAGTGCAAGTTTGTAGCAGGTTGTCAACCTGCTATATTGTTCCACTATCATTCTGTTATGATTTGTAGATATTTATTTGCATATGAAAAAGCAGTTAAGTCCACAGCAGATCCTTAGGTATTAATATGGATGCAAATAATGACTTTCTGTGTGATTTTAATCTAAACTTCTCAATATTTATAGTTCCCTTATAATAGCAATATCACCTTTCCATGTGTATGAGCTGTTAAAGTTTACAATACACATCCTATTTCTATTCATTCTTACAACTCCGGTGCGGGGCAGTCAAGGCAGGTATTCATTCCTATTTTATGAGTGAGAAAGCCAAACAATAGGGAAATGATATTCATATACAAAAACAAACAACAATAAAACACTTAGACCTCATATTATGCACAGAATTTAACTCAAATGGATTACAGACTTCTGTTTAAGAAATAAAATGGGAAAACAATTGAGCAGACGTTTGTCCAATGAAAAAATGTAAACAGTCAAGAAGCACATGAACAAATGGTCAACGTGGAACTACAAGTCAAACCATAATGAACTACTATTCCATACTCACTAGGACGTCCACAATAAAAAAAAGATGCACTGGATGTGGTGGTGTAATCCCAGCTGCTCAGGCTGAGGCAGGAGGATTACACACTTAAGGCCAACCTGGGCAACTTGGTGAGACCTTGTCTTAAGAAGTAAAAATGACTAGAGATGAAGCCCAGTGTGACACGGGTTCAATTACCAGTTTAAAAAAACACGGGCACTAATAGTTCTGGCAAGGATGTAGAGCAATTGGAACACTCATACACTGTTAGTATGACTGTAAAATGGTGCGAACTCTTAGAAAACAGATTGCAGCTTTACCAAAAGTTAAGGGCTGGGGATTCAGCTCAGCGGCATAGCGCCTGCCTGGCAAGTGCAAGGTGGTGAGTTCGATTCCTGGTACCGGAAGAAAAAACAAACAAACAAACAAAAACAGTAAACAAAAGTTAAGCATGGAATAACCAAATGATCCAGCAGTTCACTCATAGGTGTATATCCAAGAGAACTGAAAACATATGCTACACAAAGACTTGTATACGACTGTACATAGCGCCAGCATTCATAGTAACCAAAAAATGTGAACAACTCGAATGTCTACCAGTTAATAAATAAAATGTGCTAAAACCATTTAATAGAATATTATTGTGAAAAAAGAATGAAATACCAATGATACTACAATATGAACAAACCCCCAAAACATTATATTAAGTGAAATTGGCAAAATGAAACTTTTTAAGGTAATGGAAATGTTCTAAAACCAAATTGTGCTGATAGTTGCAGAGCTGTATAAATTTGCTGAACTGTACACATACAGTAGGTGGACTTTATAATTAGCTTTACACCTCAATAAAGCTAATTTGTAAAAAAAAAAAAATCACTAAAAAAAAATCTGCACTAAAAAGAACAAGGAATCACCAAAGAGGGACTAAAAGATGTTTTCCCTGTCCCTTCTGTTTTTTCACCTGCCTGAGAAACAGCGGTGATGATAATAAGCTTTTCCGCAATGTTATTATCATCACATGGGAAGTAACAATTCTTCCAGGCTTTGAAAATATAAAACAGGGGCTGGGGATTTAGCTCAGCGGCAAAGCACCTGCCTGGCAAGCACAAGGTCGTGAGTTTGGTTCCCGGTACCGGAGAAAAACCAAAAAAAAAAAATATATATATATAAAACAATTCAAAATGCCTGGTGGTACTGCTATTTCTAGATAATCCATAGTATATTTGTATCAGAAAATTTCTACTTTTTCCTATTTATAGTTCATAAACCGAGGGAAATTTCATAGTGCATAGCTACACTGTAATGTGAATAGATCTCAAAACATATCAGAAAGCACTATTCTATTTAATTTCCAATATGCAAGACAATTCCGTTCTTTAAAATTCCCTGACAATTTAATAGCACCATCTGACTTACAGTGTGGCTAATAAGACGCAGAGCATCTTCAAAATGGCCCCAAACTTCTTCCAAGGGACAGAATTCTGCACTTGATACCTCATCTGACACTGAAAGGTTAATCAAATTGCGCATGCATTCGCTGAAAATCAAAAGAGAAAATCAACCCACAAGGAAAGAAATCATTGACTTTATGACTAAGATAAGTAAAACCTGGAGCTCATCCCAGACTAAGAGCTTCAAAACACTTCTGTTCTTCCTTCACTTTTATCTGGGCCCTAATATCAGAAGACAGATGTTTGAAGCTATGAAAGGGGTCAGCCAGTCTTTCTTTTTATCATGCCAGTGGTTGTCTTTCACTCTTTTTTAGTTTCCTGCATAAAAGAATCATAGCTGTTTATTATATTTTATGAACTGGTCCAATTTACAGGCATTTTAAAGCAACTTGTTTCTTCCACAAATGGCTAAGGGAATTGGGATTTAATTGAGAATAATTCCAGGGGAACTCTCAAGCCACAGAACGGAGGGGCTGTAATGAAGTTTTCCACAGGAAAATCACACATGTTCTTTTTCCATGTCTGGACGTGGAGAGTAAAATACTCTCCAGTAAACAATATTTTATTCAACATTTATTGGTGCTTTAAAAAAAGTGCTGCTGAAAAAAATTTCAGCAAATAAAGCAAAATGTTAACAATTATTAAATTTGCATGGTGGTTGCACTGGTGTTTATGTCATTAGTCTCTGTGCTTTTCTGAACACTTGGAATATTTAGTAATAAAAATAAGGGAGGTTCTTATATATATGCGTATATGTATATATATACGCATATATATATTCAAATATATATATATATATATGCATATATATATATTCAAACATAAAAGCACCTTTTTTTCTCTCTTTCCTTTGGGAAAACCAGACTCCTTGATCATACTAAATAATTTCTGCTCAGTATGGAGCTGTGCCCCCTCATCATCTTTTAAATTTACTTGGGGGAGGGCTTTGACTACAGTTCATCTGGCTATTAAAAAGCCTGCATTAGATACTGAATTATGTTTACTAACCTTTATTTCAAAACCTCAATTGATTCTTTTTGTGAAGCAATAAACCCTTTTCAAGGCCTTGAGAGCAACAGAAGGATAATATGCAGGCATTTCCACTGCTAATACTAAAGGAAGGTAAGAAAAAAGGTTGCAGATACCATCATCTTATCCATTGGTTTTGATCCCATGCTACAACTTGTTTCCTCTAATGAAACTTGCCTGAAACAGATCCACAAACCACGCATACAAGGCACGCACGCACCCGCACGCACACGCACAATAAAGATGAGTTTTATAAAATGATGAATCCACAGATTGTTTTAGAAAGAGCCTCTTCTTTCTGGGCGGACTAGCATTGCCAGGTTCCACCCTTTCTTCAGTAAACATCAACAGAAAGCCTGCTGTTCTTTCTGTGACCCTGCGTACAGTCAGGTGAAGCGACAGTCTCAGGAGTCACAGTCAAGGAAGGGCACACCAAGAAAGAGAGAGAAAGCGGATCAGTAAAAGGCACTAATCAATAGCAGATCTAACATGATATACTGGGGGTTTTTGCCAGATGCTAAACATAGGAAACATTTGACAAGAGAGTATCAGAAATAACTAACCCTAAAGCTTTCTGATTCTTTTATCAGGCCTCTAGAATTGGAGTTCCATTATACAGGATTTATACAGGAGCAGTGGTCATAATCATGCGTTCGTAAGGTACACATGCTTCATGGCTCTAGGAATTCTGTCTTGGCACGACTAGGGAAAGGCAAACGTGACTGTTGTGTGCGTGAGGTGACCTAGTACCTCTACGAACCACACTTCTGCTTCCTGAGCAGGGTGAGAGGGGAAAAGGGAAGATAGTTAGGCCATTTCCTACTGTGTACTCCCCCACGAAAGGCTTGGAGCCCTCAAATACCACTTACAGCTCAACCAGAAAGCTGAGAGTGGCAGTTGAGTTATACACATTTCCGATATTTCTCTGTACATTTTAAATACATCGCTAAGATTGTATCCCCTTTGATCAGTGAAGCGATTACTATTTCTAGCTAGCTGAGAAAAACCTAACATTCTGAAGTTTGAGCTCCCCCTATTGTGTAGTTACATAATTAAATTCCACACACAGAATAACCGTGAGTGCGTATTATGAGCAATGCACTTCCCTAGAGTTTATAAATACAATGGATACATGTAATTATTTCTCATGACCCTAAGGAGATTATACTCTCATAGAGTGAAAAAGATAATTGCACACAGGACTGTAATACAAAATAGTTTAAGGGTGCCACTAGAGAGAGAGAAAAAAGTTCTGGGAAGAAAAATTGTTCACCACCTGGAGGTAAGAAGAGTAAAGAAAGCAAAGAAAATAGCAGGATCTAAATGGGCACCAGCCTTACAAAAGCATAAATATAGCCCATACGTGCGATTGTTTCACGTTTCACCTTCTAAATGAGGCAGCTCCCACACCGATTCCAGGAAACTGTCCAGCGACGGATCATTCATTTTGGCTTTAACTTCAAACTCGTATAATAGAAGCAGTGTCGCACATGGATCATTTGAGAAGTCCCCTAAGAAAGGGGAAAAAAATTGCAACATTCTCTGTGATTTCATTGCAGTATTCTTTTCTGTTCAGTCTCTCTGTAGACATTTTCCTTTTCCGGAAAATTAATTTTACTTTCAATTTGAAGGTCATCCCAGCCTCCGAAGATAGGCTTTTAAAACATTTTCAAATCTGTAAGCTTATTGCTAATTTCAGCACCCTTAATGCATTCACTAGCACTGTGTACACATTGTCTGAACCTTTTTCCATGATGCTAAAAATTAGCCTGAAAAGGTCCTGCTACTGTCATTAAGGTTCAAATTAAAACCAAATGTGTAACTGCCTCTGCGAACATGCAACTATGCCTATGCTCACCCTCATGACTGAGTTAAATGGAAGACATGATGCAGTGGTTTTCCTTCTAGCCAAGTAGAAGTTTCCAAACCGTTTCATTCAGTTATTTATTTATTTATTTATTTATTTATTTGGTTTTTCTCCGGTACCAGGAACCGAACTCACGACCTTGCGTTTGCCAGGCAGGCGCTTTTGCCCCTGAGCTAAATCCCCAGCCCCAAATCGTTTCATTTAGTCAGTCAATAGTACTTTCTGAGTATCACCACAGGAAGAATCTTATATCAGATGACATGAACCATACTAGGTAGAGAGTTTTCACTCACCCTTGGTAGGGTGAATATTAAAATAGTTTTAAAGTATAGCATGCATACAGTAAACTGAATGAAGAGCTCTAAGATTTAGCAAACAGCGTAATGAATTCTCACGTATGTTTAAACTTATTCAATCACTACCCAGATCATGATAAAGAACAACTTCCAACACTTTAGAAAGTTCCTTTGTGCTCCTTTCCAGTCAGTGTCACTTCATGAGAGGTAACAAATATTTTTACTTCTATCCCAATTGATTTCATTGCTCTTTTTGTTTGTTTGGTTTTTTGGACAGGGTCTCACTTGCTAGTGCAGGCTGGCCTTGAACTCACTATGTAGCCCAGGCTGGCCTCAAACTCCCAGCTATCCTCCTGCCTCAGCTTCCTGAGTACTGGGATTATAGGCACCACGACACCCATTTTGGTCATTAATTAATGTAAACCATGTGTAATAGTCAAAAGTTTCCATTTTACTACTTTACTGAAAGGAAAATCCTTTAGTGTAACACTTCTAGTAATAGCACATCCTCATTTTGACATAATTTATCCTATTCATGTAATTAGTACTACACTTAACAAAATTTTTTTCCGGACTCTAAGGCTTTCTTTACCTTTTATGAAGTATGACTGAAGTGTTAACTCTTTCAGAGTTCTTTAAAACAAATTTGAAGCCAGGCGTGGTGGCACACACGTATAACACCAGCTACACAGCAGGACGCTGAGGAAGGAGGATTGCAAATTCAAGGTCAGCCTGGAGACTTAGTAAGATTTTATCCTAAAATAAAAAAATAAAAAGCTGAAGCTCAGTGGCAGAGTCCTTGATTAGCATGTGCAAGACCCTGGATTCAGTCCTCAGCAAGGGGGCAAGGGAAGGGTTGAAATTTTAATTTCACCTCGAACCTGTTTGATTAAAATGAATAGAATTTCACTACTGTATGAGTTAAAACAAAAAACAGAATAAAAAGCAAAAGTGGCATCTATGTACTCAGCAAATTATTTCATAAGCCATTTACACTGCATCACAGTTCCAATTAGCATAAGAACAAAACTGGTTCCAAGTGTTTGGCAATTTGACTGCAAGCTTTAAATCATAGTGTGACGCTTCTCAGCAACTCCTCTCTAAGAAAATGGAGTGTGGATAAGTACAAAAATTGGTGTATCAGTAGGTGGTATTATATGTAGTCAAGATATAAAGAGAATTCTTCATAAAATTAGGTTTGAAAATGCAGAACGTCTTGATAATCACTAGCTGTCTCAAAGGCTAAAACCAGAAAAATGGAGAAAATAGAAGTATTCATTAATATTATTTTGCTTTGAGAAGCCAGAAATTATTCCATTCCAAGAAATAAGCAATAATGATAAAAGATATGACTAATATACTTTATCTCTTTTCAGCCAAATCACACTTTTCACCTCAGAGAGGGCAATTTTAATATCTTTTTCTACAATAGACCCCATTTTAAATCACTATCTATAGAGTTAATAATCTAAAGTCATTTTTCTCCACAGGATGTCTTTATTTCAGTAAAAAAGCTGCAAAAATGGTAAATGACTAAATCAGGTATAAAAAATTTGTACTTCAGGTTGAATATCTCTTATCTGAAAATGCTTATAACCAGAAGTGTTTGGAGTTTTCTCAGATTTTGAATACATAGATAAGATATCTTGAGGATGAGACCCAAGTCTAAACACAAAATTTATGTTTCGTATACATCTGCTCCATGTAGCCTGAAGATAATTTTATGCAACAGTTTTAGTGCACTTGTGTTTCAACTATAATCCACACATAAATTCAGGTGTGAAAATTTTCACATTTAATATTATGCCTATGCTTGATGCCTAACTTAAAAAAAGTTTAAGATTTGGGGGCACTTTGGGTCTTGGATTTTCAGATTGGGGATTCTCAACCTGTATAATAAATGCTAACCTATATATTAACATCCAATAAATACCCATAACCTTTGATAACCAAGCCTAACATTACTACAGTACTGAGATAAAAACTAGCAAGATTCTTCTATACGGTTAGATTTAATTTAGCAAATTAATACCATTATGAAATCCAAAGAAACCTCAGCATAATTTTTCAAGTAATTTTTCTCTGATTGCAGAGTATGTTCATACTTTCAATCTTTTTGAAATTGTTTAGCTTTTGCAAACTAAACAATTTTCTAGATTTTTTGTTTCTTCTTTTGCTGCTTCTTTCTGGATTCGATTATCTTGGTCTATTTCCAGGACAGTGGAGCACTCGCTTGGAACAGTGGAGCAGGGGCCAAATAACTGTTTTAAGGCAGCCATGTGTGTTCTTTGCGGCCCATTCCACAGCATACTCAATGAAGCTTTATGTCAAACAGCTTTAGGAAAATGGAGGCTTGAGTAATATCCTGGGCTTACACAATCTCAAAAGAGCCTTGGTTACTTGTCTTCTTTCATTCCACCATACACTTCTGAGAGGTTTAAATTCCTAACACGGCCACTGGCCTATGAGAACCCCATTCGCTCATGCCTCTCAGCCTTAGCAAGCAGTGTGGCCCAGCAGGGCTCATATTGCTGAGGGTCACTGGGAATCATGGGTTAGAGCCCCCGCACCTTGTGCTGCCCGCTCCACGGCCATTTCTACTGAAATAGGGATAACATCATAGCACCAGCTGCCACCATCTTCCCCTGTATTATAGCACAGACTCAGACTCCCTGCCATACTTTTAAGTTTTTTGAGGTCTGTTTTAAGATTTGGAATATGGTTTATGGTGATGAATGTTGCACACACATTTGAAAAAAAAATGTGCATTTTGCTATTGTGAGGTAAGGTGTTCTATAAATATCATCAGATCAAGTTGCTTGGTAGCTGTTCATGTGTTCTGTATCCATATTGAGTATCAGTTGGCTTATTCTACTGATTACTGAGGGAGGAGCATTAAAGTTCTAACTATTAGAATAGTATTGGATTTGTCTATTCCTCATTTTAGTTCCATCAATTTTTGCTTCATGTATTTTGCAGGTCTGTGAAGCAATTGCATTCACAATAGCAATAAAAAGAATAAAAACCTTATTCACAAGACAATACTGTCTTCTTAGGGAATTCGATAAAATGTCATTAGAATTAATAAACAAGGGGCTGGGGATTTAGCTCAGTGGCAAAGCGCCTGCCTGGCAAGCACAAGGTCATGAGTTCGGTTCCGGGTACCAGAGAAAAAAAAAAGAATTAATAAACAAGTTCAATAAGATCAATATACAAAAATGAATTCCGTTTTTATAGATCAGCAATGAGCAAGCTGAAAATAAAATGAATTTTATTTGCAATAGTTTAAAAATAAAATACTTAGGAATAAACTGAACCAACTGTATGACTTGTACACTAAAAACTATAAAACATAATTGAAAATATGATGTCATAAAATGAAAAAATATCCTATGTTCACGTATTAAAGGATTTAATACTGCTAAGGTGACAATATTCCGCCAAATGATGTGTAGATTCATTACAGTCCCAATCAGAATCCTAGCTGGTGATGTTTTCCCCGAAAGGGGAGTGGCTGGGAACCCAACAGGCTGATTGTAAAATTCATATGGAAATTCAAGTGTAGCCAAAACAAGCTTGAAAGAAGAACAAAGTGGAATGACTAAAACATTTCTTGATTTCAAAGCTTACTTCCGAGCAATCATAACAAGACGTCAGGCTACTGGCATAAGGATAGACATATACATCAACAAAAGAGAATTGGCAATCTAGAAATACGAACATGTGTCTTTCACCAACTAATTTTCCACAAAAGAGAAAAGCCGCGTGATAATGAAGTTGGAGCCTTCCCTCATACCACAGAGAGAATTAACTCAAAATGGACCAAACATCCAAAAGTGAGCTAAAATGCTAAGGTTCATAGAAAACACAGGGGCAAAACTTCATGACTTTGTATTCGGCAATGGACCCTTAAATGTGGCATCAAAAGTCCAAGCAACAAGAGGCAAATAGGTAAGTTGGAACACAAGGTATTTCAAAGAACACTATAAAAAAGGGAAATAGCAATTTGGAAAATCAGAGAAAATATCTGAAAATCGTATATCTAATCGAGGCAATAATAAACAGATAAACCACTTAAAAATTGAGCAAAGATTCTGTGATATTTGCATATGGTTTGTTCTCTCCACAAAGCACAGTGAAATTTGATTGCCATTGTGGTCATGTTCTGAGGTGAAGCCTTTCCGAGCTGATTAGGTAGTTAAGAGGGATTAAGGGATTAAGGGACTGGGTGAATGCTTATTCTCAAGGGACTGAATGAATTGCCGTAAGAGCAGATGAAGTGAGCCTCTTTGCTAAGAGGCTACTTCCTTGTGTTTTGTCTCTTCTGTATGTACTTGTTTCCTTCTTC